CACACTCTTACCCATTTCTGCCACTTGTTGTGTGTCTATGTGAACGGTATAGAGAACCAGAATAATTACACGCTGTGAGGCATTGCATCTTAGTCCTCAGAGGTGACAACCAATTTGTAGAGTTCTTCGTTTGAAGTTGGCCGCAGGTGTGTCCATGGACTGCAGTAGTCATTTACCATCAGGTGAACGGTAAGTTTGATTATCAGTTTATTAAAAAAAATATTGGTTCAATCAAGGCGATGTTGAAGCGCCGTTAGCGTCACCATAAAAAAAGCGAGTAATGAATTGCAACTTTAAAATTATTAGTGGCATTATTTGATAATATTTCTTATATATAAACAGACTTCGAATAATAACAATAATCAACGATACATTTTTGAAAATGCCTCCATCCAAATTATCATAAAATATTAATTTCTAATTGGACGACACAAACGTAGGGACATTATCATTATAAAGACTGGCACAATGCCGCCAGTCTCCTAAATGTGACATTATAGTACGTTCGCTAAGATAGTGTGGGTACACCCGGATGCGCACTTATTATTTTGCATTTATTTTAATAGTTTTTACTGTATTTGTCAAATAAATATTATACTATTTTATTCTTAGGATGTTTGTAATAATATACGAATATAAATAATAAGAACAAGCTAGATAGCAAAGAACCTTTTACTAGGGTGCTTCGTTTTAACATGCCAAATTCTCCTGCGGGTGTACGCCGCACGCAGCGACCTTTGATGTCGCAGCGGCGCCTTTGACAATATGCTAACGCGGCGCGACACAAAGGCGACCGTATCTAAGCGAACAGACTATACACGCCTTTATAGAAAAAACTGTAACTCGTTTTAAATTTGTAACATGGAAATACTAAGCTATCTTCAGAAAACCAACTTGAATTGACTGCCTGAGAATCATTTGGATGATTTCGCTAAACAATGGAGAAAAATGCTCCAGAGTCCACTCTACATGAGTGACGGGCTGGTAAGACATGAAGGAGGAAGGATGTCGACGAGTTTTGTTGCATTTCTTAGGGAAGATCTATGTTCATCAGGCGAACTTGGTTAAAGTTAACTGATTCATCTTTTATATTTTTAACAAACTAGGAGTTAATAGAAAATACACTAATTTCTAACTCCACAGTAATTTTATTCTCATATCGCGCTCTTTTTCTATTTCATGTTATTTAAAGTATAAAGAATACTAAATAAAAATATAAGATAATAATATATGCTAAATAATAATGTTATTTTAATTAACTTCAATGAAAAATATCTTCGGAAATTAACTTCAATAGATCTGAATATTAGATTTCTTTATAAAAACTCCTGTATAACTTTAACCGAAGCTTTTAGAAAAAGTTCATGCTCATATGCCAATGCCAATGGGTCAAAGTAGCTACAGGGAAGTTAGGTGTATTTGTAAAGGTGTGGCGGTACTTCAAGCCAGGACAGTCCTTATTCCTCTATATGAACCGTCCGGTCGTGCATAGAGTAGAGCTGCCATAAACGGGCTAGTGCTGCAAAATGTCACTTAACAGCTTGATACTCAATAGAAAGGCGTAACCTCAATCTGTTTAAAACCAATCTTGCCAGTCAAGAGCGCTGGTGCAAAATAACCAGCCTGTGTTTTACAGAACATTTCAGAGCATGCGCAGGAATTGCATGACTAAATTTCACCATCGGACAACCAGACGCTTAACCAGTCTCCACTTTTTTTTGTCGACATACCACGCATTCGAACCAAACGGTTTCCTTTGACGTCCGTAACGCGTACAGCAAATAGTGTAGAATAATTTGCCAGCTGTCTTTTAATTTGATTACAATATGGCTATCTTAAAGGTAAGAGTGATAGGCTATGGTTAAGCTAAGTCAATACGCTTTATCAACTTCGGCTACATCACCACTTGCTATCAACTGGGATAGTTGTCGCGCCTAGCCTACTAATGTACTACAATGTTTGGATGGTAACAAAGTAGTAAATGTATGAAATATAGATAGTACTATAGGCACTATTGAAAATTAATTGCTTTTTCAAGTATTGATTTTACTACGTACGTTGTTTGGAGAAAACGTCTATATAAATAAAATAATAGAGGTTTGCAGTTGTGCGCGCATCACGGAAAAACGACTGGATAGATTTTAATAAGGTTTTCTAAGTTTTATTTCGTAGACACTTGGCCATTATCTAAAAAAAAATATTGCGATATTTTTATTTAATTTAGAGTTATTAAAGTTTTAAGAAACAACGATTTTTATAAGCACTACGTGTTTATTGATGTGTGTAAGCATCACGGACGAAGTCGCGGGTATCAGCTAGTCGTTAATAAAACTGAATGTCTGAGATGTCAAAAACATATTGAGGACTTGTAAAGTCCGCCAAAACCATCTCAAAAATAGAAATCTGTAGCTACGAATTGAGGGACACTGTTACTTGAAATTTTTACTTATAAATGGTAAAAATTGGATACCAACTTGCGTAATGTACTCAATCTATTTCGGACTATTTCTACATTTAATATGTAATAATTTACATCCTTCCGCTAATAAATTTTGCGATATTTGCTTCAGTCGTTCCACAGATAAAAATAAAATATACCTCTTCCTGTATACAATAAACCATATTTTAGACAACCACAGCAGTGCAGGCAGTGTAACGCACTAAAAGAAGAATACTCAAATGTCACTCACAAGCTCAAACCAAATGTTCTTAACGGTTCTCTTGACCTCTACTAGCCTTCTGTAGGCCTATCACGTCCATTGCTTATCGGGAAGCAATATACAGCGTCGATAATGATTGTGCTACTGAAAGTCAGCAAGCGACTGCCGCCAGGTGGCGTGGAACGGGATGCGTAGTATTTTCAGCTTCGTGTTGGGCATTTGTGCTGATAACAGCCGCTGGAGTGTTGGTAGTGGCAGGATCTCCACCTACAAGGAATAAGATTTTTTTTTTAAATAAATTACCCTTGTAATGAATTGTACCATTCTCACGATGGAGGGTCGACCATAACAACCATACTTCGAAGGGTTGATGGGTTAGCCAAATTGACAATTTACGACAAATTAAATTGACTGACCATTCCCATTCGTTTTATAGTTTTTTAAAAGGCTTTACTCTTGTAGAAAGGCAACTTGGCTCATCCCGCAGAGGAATTAAGATTCTGATTTTCTAGTCTAGTTATACCAGGTGGAATTACAGGGTTATTTTTCAATAACCGGCTAAAGAACAATGGCAAAAAATAGTCGACAAATATTATTGCGTCTAGAAGTAAGTTATATATAAAATGAGGTTTATTATTTTTCTATGATATTTTAAATAAATATGTATTTTAATTAAAGCCACAGGAAAAAACAAACATTTTTTGGGAATATCAAATGACTTAAATCATTTTACTCTATTAAGTGTTACCATTCACTATATTCATACTATTTTCATATACACTTTGTAAAGACTACCAACACAATACGTACACAAAATACACACAACACAAAATATTTTTATATTAAATTATTATTAGTAATAACTATACTATCAGTAATAATAAAAATAAAAGTGATATGGTTAAAAATAAGTCTCTTACAAAGACCTTCCTAGAATACATTATCTCAATCATAGTACTATGTAACAATTCCATTTAATGTTATGGCAACACTAGCTAAAACAAAATGTCAGTTTTTTTACTGGCTTTCCGGCTCTGGGTTCTAGCCCTTCTGAGAATGTCACTGTATGACACAAAGGCCCTGGAGCCACGCCAGAAATATACATAGGTAGATACATTATGTTGAGAATGTATTAAGCTAACATCAAACAACCACAGGACACATGACTTTCCAAGTGAGAAGATATAACCTAAAAAGGTTTAAATATAAATATTTTTTTTGGATTTGAGCACGGGGATGCACTCGCCCACGTGCGTCACGTGTCACGTACCTGCGGCGGGCCGGCCACCAGGTGGCGGTCGTCGGGCAGGCGGCAGCCGGGCACGGGCTTGAGCACGGGGATGCACTCGCCCACGTGCGTCACGTGCGTCACGTGTCACGTACCTGCGGCGGGCCGGCCACCAGGTGGCGGTCGTCGGGCAGGCGGCAGCCGGGCACGGGCTTGAACACGGGGATGCACTCGCCCACGTGCGTCACGTGTCACGTACCTGCGGCGGGCCGGCCACCAGGTGGCGGTCGTCGGGCAGGCGGCAGCCGGGCACGGGCTTGAGCACGGGGATGCACTCGCCCACGTGCGTCACGTGCGTCACGTGTCACGTACCTGCGGCGGGCCGGCCACCAGGTGGCGGTCGTCGGGCAGGCGGCAGCCGGGCACGGGCTTGAGCACGGGGATGCACTCGCCCACGTGCGTCACGTGCGTCACGTGTCACGTACCTGCGGCGGGCCGGCCACCAGGTGGCGGTCGTCGGGCAGGCGGCAGCCGGGCACGGGCTTGAACACGGGGATGCACTCGCCCACGTGCGTCACGTGTCACGTACCTGCGGCGGGCCGGCCACCAGGTGGCGGTCGTCGGGCAGGCGGCAGCCGGGCACGGGCTTGAGCACGGGGATGCACTCGCCCACGTGCGTCACGTGTCACGTACCTGCGGCGGGCCGGCCACCAGGTGGCGGTCGTCGGGCAGGCGGCAGCCGGGCACGGGCTTGAACACGGGGATGCACTCGCCCACGTGCGTCACGTGCGTCACGTGTCACGTACCTGCGGCGGGCCGGCCACCAGGTGGCGGTCGTCGGGCAGGCGGCAGCCGGGCACGGGCTTGAACACGGGGATGCACTCGCCCACGTGCGTCACGTGTCACGTACCTGCGGCGGGCCGGCCACCAGGTGGCGGTCGTCGGGCAGGCGGCAGCCGGGCACGGGCTTGAGCACGGGGATGCACTCGCCCACGTGCGTCACGTGCGTCACGTGTCACGTACCTGCGGCGGGCCGGCCACCAGGTGGCGGTCGTCGGGCAGGCGGCAGCCGGGCACGGGCTTGAACACGGGGATGCACTCGCCCACGTGCGTCACGTGTCACGTACCTGCGGCGGGCCGGCCACCAGGTGGCGGTCGTCGGGCAGGCGACAGCCGGGCACGGGCTTGAGCACGGGGATGCACTCGCCCACGTCGCGCCGCTTGTCGCCGGGCTCGGCGCCGTCGGCCGCCTCGCCGCCCTGCTCGCACTGGTCGATGAACAGCTCGGTGACGCGCAGCAGCTCGATGGTCACGCCCCACATCAGGTGCGTCAGCGTGTCCTTCAGCCGCAGCACGCCGCTCAGCACCTGCACACCGCAACCACATACACAAACCTATACTCTGCCGGAACCAACAGAACGGCCCGTACACATAGCTCAGTGTTGAACGACCCCACACTAGATGTAGTGACGACTTGATAAGGCATGCAAGGTGTTTGGTATATGCAGATGAAATAAAACTACTTTTAAAATTTTTATCGCGTTTCATTTTACATATTTCTTCAGGAGAGAAGGTAAACGAACATATGGCTCACCTAATCGTAAGCTACTACAGCCACCTATGAACAACTGCAACACCAGGGGAATTGCAGGTGCGTTGCCGGCCTTTTAAAAGGGAGTAGGCTCTTTTTCTGAAGGTCCCGAAGTCGTATCGGTCTGGAAAAATCAGCGGTGGTAAACTATTCCACGGAGAGGTCGTACGAGGAAGAAAACTCCTAGTAAAACGTACAGTGGTTGACCGCCTAGCATCTAGATTGTGTGGATAGTATTGGGAGTTTTGCCACAATGTGCGTTAGTAAAATTTGGGGGCTGGGATTAATCCCAACAATTCCTTAAACCACTCCCCGTGGTAGATGTGAAAAAAATGCAAAGGGATGCAACATCTCTTCGCAGCACCAGTGAATCGAGCCGATCGGAGAGGACTCGGTCGTCGACGATTCGAGCTGCTCTGCACTGGATGCGGTCAAGTGGAAGGATCTGGTACTGGGGAGCCCCAGCCCAGAGAGGCGAACAGTATTATGTATATGAGGCCGAACCTGCACCTTGTAAAGTTACTGGCGATGTGCCGACATGAAATACTGTCCCCTCTCCTGAGCACGCCAAGGTTTTAAATGCCAGTTTGGTCTTCTCTTCCAAGTGACAAGGAAACTGCACATCATTCTGTATGTCGACGCCGAGGATTCCGATACTGGCTGAGGCAACAAGGGGAGCGCATTGAAACTGAGGAGATACTTTGTTCAGCAGAGACAAAGGCACGGCCTGTGTATAGAGTATCACCAGTACTGTCATTCGCATAGCAATGAATGTTACCGGTTTGCAACATATTGATATGCAGAAGAAACAGCGTTGGTGATAGCACGCAGCCTTGTGGAACACCAGCGTTAATAGTCTTGTAATCGGAGTATGCACCTGCGACCTACTGCGACATCCATAGGAACAATAGGCACAATTTCTCGAGAAATCCATAGGAAGGGAGCTTTGAAAAAATCGCTTTGTGCCAAATCCGATCGAAGGCCTTCGTGCTATAGTGCTGTTACGGCCCCCAGCTGCCCCTGCTGCCCTGGTCGCCTTGGCTAGGGCCTATAGTAGCCTCCTCAACGGGCAGCCGAGGGTTCGAGCACAAATGGCCATATGGACAGTTGACCTATCATACTACACAATAGGGAGAAGGCTAGGTAAATAAATAGTACGTACCTGGATCCGAAGCCAAGACCGCCCCAAGGCTCGCTCAGGTCGTAGGTGTAGGTGCGTGTGAGTGGTGTTTAGTGGTAGTGTTTATTTATGTGACCTGGCCCAGCTGAGGTGACCGGGCAGCGGCCTGGTCCCATGCTGCCCCCCGATGCTGCATCACGCTAGCAGGCGTGATGCAGCAGGCGTTCAGTGTATCGACTTTATTGTACATTTAACTAACTTCAACTCAATTAATTCCACGTTCATCGTAAAATAAAACACGTGATACCCGACACTAGTAACGGACAGTAGTTCAAAGTTCCACATTCAAAGTTCCGGATTCATTTATCACCAAATTACAAATAGGGAACTAACGCGATCTCTTTACGAGTCACAAAGTTCAGCGTTACAAACAACAACTAAACTCCTTGTACGATATTAAATACTACGCCGCAATAAGAATTCAAAATCAACCTAGCTGACGAGCAAACTAGCTACAGAGTCAACACACAAAAGGCTCTTAACGCGACGGCACAATTAAACAATGATTTCCAAAACAATCAACCGGGCGACGCCCTCGAAATGGAGAATGCGCGGTTCAAATTCCCGACCGTATCTCTACTCGGCGCGCGCGCAACATTCCACGTCACACAAGCAAGTTAAATATTGCAAAATGCACTTCAACACGCAATCACTATATAATTGGCGCAATTACTTTAATCCGTCAAATACAATACAAGCCTCTTGTCACGAACTTATAACTTAGACAAACTAAACCGAGGCAGTTTTCACGCGCGAAACATCTGCAGCGGTCACCAAAATACGCTAATAGCCCGCACCGCTGCCTTCGAGCTACTGTCTCTCTTAGCCCAGCGACAGAATCACCGGAGCTGGCACACTCGCCCCCCCCCCTCCCGTCGGTGTTACCTCACCTCGACACCATCGGGTGATTCGCTAAGTCGAAGGCGATTGGATGCCGTCTCAAATGACCATTTTTGGGCCTAAACAAGTGCCAAACACGTTAAGTAACGTTAGCGTGAGTGACACCACACTCCCGACTAAACAATGATCCAAGGAGCCAAAAGGGGCGTCGACAGAGACCTGATAAAGCCATAAACGGATCTCTATCAGTTATAAACAGATCTCCCCGCATGATCGGTTAAACGTGATCCGAATCATTCGGAAGTCCCCTGATGTTGCAGAAATTCACGAATAGTGTGCCTTGCTAGTGTGATTGCTTGCCCCCCCCCCTCCCGACTACGCTTGGCAACCTGAGTACCTACGCTCAGGAGTGGAGTAGCTTGGTCGTGGATGCTCAGCGCAGGATTATCCATTACCAGAGGTGCTGGTACCCTCCTGGGGTAGTATTACGCTACCATCTTGAAAGGAGGACACATTTGGCATCCGGACACCTGCAATCACCAGACAAAACGCAGAAGCAGAGCTTCTACTTCACGCTGGTTTTCTGTGAGATCGTGGTACCACTCCGGCTCGAGCCGCCCCTTATGTGCAACAGCGAAAACTGCCGCGTAGCTCTATCACTGTTAAAACACATATTTTTCATTACCAACGTTTCGGGTGCTTTATGGCACCCATGGTCACAAATGTGCGAGACGTCGGTAATCAAAAATAAATAAAATAAAACGCAATAAAATCCGTAAAAATAGTTTTATTCAATGTGTAGTGTTCGCGTAAATACAACAAATCAAGCCATATTTTATGGTGAAGGATTGAAGTGATGATGGTAATAATAATTACTAGAACTTATTTCACAGACGCTATTTCGTAAAAAAGTACACAAATCCAGACCTGAAACATTTATGTGATGTCTGTTGTCAAAATTCATATTTCTCTGGCGCGTGCGACGATAAAGTAAGGAAGTAAGTCACTTAGTCTGACGCCGGCGTCCTTAGGGATGGTTCACGAGTCGCTTGACGAAAATTAGTTTCGTTTTTCGTGTACACGTCCTTTGAGTTTTAATTGTTTTTTTTTTGGTTTTGTGGACATTTTGATAAGTTTCTTAATTTGTTTGTGATAGGACACGTTAATAAGATAATAATTGTGACAAGAAGGTGGTGCGACAGTTTGTGAAAAATTGGACGCTTTCTTTTACTGTATTGTATTTTTTTTTATTTGTGATAGGACACGTTAATAATACGCTAGATAATCATACTTAATAACTTAGTGATGTGACACCCCGTGCGCAATTGGACGCTTTTATTTTTTTAACGTATAACTTTAAGTTTTAAGATGTTTGTCTCGTATCAATTTCACGTCGTCGGAATACACCGACATGATCTTGATTTATGAAGAATGCCACCAAAACGCAGGCCTGGCATTACGAACATACCGAGAGAGGTATAATACCACACGTGTATGTGAAATTTGATTTGTTTTGATTATTAAAGTTGAGTGATATTAAGATTAAAGTGATTATTTGGATAAAAACAATACCATGAAATTTGTGATTTGTTGATAACATCGGATTAGCATCGCCCTACGCGTGCCTAATTACTTATGTATGGGCAAGTGTAGGTATTTATGTCGATGTCGCGTGAGCACTGAACGCCGCAGCGCATCCGGGCCGTTGCCTCTTTTACAGGTCACTTCAGGATATTATCAAGGGTGATTTATTTCGTGTAATTTTTTACGCTATTTATTTTGTTTGAAAGATGCATTTTTTTATTATTGTTATTTTATTATTTTAGCTTTCCTAGATGTTTTAGTCATCCGAAATCCTGATAACACTATTGGTCATACTGTGTACAGAAAAAATACCCATACCAACCGATATCTAAATGGTGAATCTCACCATCATCCTTCACAGTTAGCTACCGTGGGAAAATCTTTGTTTCAGAGAGCACGAGGGATCTATGACAGAAAACATCTGGCCGCCGAGCTTCAGCACGTCGAGCAAGTACTGCAAGACAACAAGCTTCGGGTCCCGTGCCTACGTCACAGTGACCGAGTGAAGCCAGCCACAGTCGAGCGTGTGCCTGCTGTACTACCCTACGTCAGAGGAGTCACAGACAACGTTGGCTACATCTTGAAGCGAGCTTCCATTAAAACATACTTCAAGCCGCTGAAGAAGATTGGTCAATTTTTACCATCCGTCAAGTGTCATATCCCTCTACAAGATGCAGGAGTGTACAAGCTGGATTGTGAATGTGGTCTCTCGTACATAGGACAAACAAAAAGATCTATTAAAACCCGCGTTAAAGAACATATAGCTGACGTGAAGCACCCACGTATCGGGAAGTCTGCAGTTTGTGAACATGTTCAAGATCGTCCCCGCCATTACATTAGATTTGATAGACCACAAATCCTCGCAAAAGAACACCGATTCCTCCCAAGGATGATTCGCGAGGCTATTGAAATTAAAAAACATCCTAATTTCAATAGAGAAGATGGATGGGTGCTGCCATCTGCTTGGGATCCCATAATTAATAAAATCAAATCCAAACCCAAGTATACCACTGCTAGACTTCAAGATACCGTAAGTCAATTCTGCGTAAATCGGACCAAAAATTAATATTAAAAAACTGAAGGAAGCCGGGCTAACTATGACAGCAGGACGTCAAACACCTCAATCCCCCGTGACCACGGGTGCTGGAAAGCACCCGAAACGTCGGGAATATAAAAATAGATTAATATACGCGATAAAATCCGTAAAATTAGTTTTAATTAAAAATGTGTAGTGTTCACGTAAATATAAAAAATCATAATATATCAACTTGTATTAACTGCTGTGCTATTTAACGTGATAACCTAAGCGCCACCCAGTATACTATATTTCTTCCCTTATTTAAACTCCTTTTTTATTTCTTTATATATCTAAATCTTTCTTAATATTTATAATATTATATAAATTTAATATTTATTTTTTTCTTAGATTTTAAGCTGGCTTGTTTCTATGTACAAAAATATTTAGTAATAACTATACCTGCTTATTCGTAGTTGCCGATTGTGACACATATGTAGGTATTATTAGTAGTCTCTGGATATTTTTGCACTCCGCCAACGCGTCGTCAAAACCAACCTGAAATGAAAAGCATTATTTAGAGCATTGTCTTTAAGAAACAAAGTATATTATACTTGTGACAATCTAAGAAGCTCGATTTGACAGCTATAAAAATACTTTGCGTAATGATGGGGAAAAAATTGGTTGCTTTAAAAACCGATTCTCGAGACATATCGATTATTTAGAGTTTGTAATGGATAATGTATCTTCATCGTTTAAAATAGATTCTCAAGGCATATCGTTTTAATACATGTACGAGTTTGTAATATTTAACAGTTATTACATAAATCCAAACTAAGTTTAAATTTGTGCCAGTTTCAAAGCCAAGACGTAAACTGAAACCCGACATACATTGTATATTATGTAGGTACGCCACTGATATGCATCCGTACGAAGCCATGGCGGGTCGCTAGTCAAGAATAAAATTAACAATAAATAAGTGTGGTTGGGTCGAGAAAATAAATAAATTCACTGAATTCGTAACATTTTTATTCTCAATTCTTATCTTAATGCCAACAAACAACTTTTTATAAAACCTATCCCGGCATATCCAGCATGACAAATAATGACGCGTCCACCATTTCCCATTGTAACTTTTGAGCTGGATGCTAGCGTATCATACTTCCAAGACTGTGGCACAGTATGATTATCATTTAACCATGTTTCGTTAATAAATATTACCTTGTCTCAGTTGGTTATTTTATTAACTTCTCTTAAGAATAATACTATTAGTAGTATTATGTCATACCTTTCCATCAATATATTGTTGGTTTTTTGTATGAAAACCCAATATTTTTTTAGAATTATATTTATAGATGTTGCACTGCCATCATATAAGTTTGCAGATTGAAGGGACACAAGCAATTTACTTACGGTGAGGTATTCCTGTCTTGTGTAGTAGCCGTAAATATGGGATCTAATCATGAAGCAAATACAAAGAGGAGACGTTGTAATTCAATTTCACTATGAAACAACGCGTGACAATTTGCGGGGTGAGGGGATGCAAAGCCCCGCCCACTACACTATCTACATCTACCGATAAATAGTAAAACTACTCGAATCTTTCCATATCAATGTTGCAATGTAGCTTAGCTACCTTGACGGTAGATGGCGGCATATCCACAAAATGTTATAAACTAAAAAATAATATTTTGGTGATTAAAATGTCTTTATGTCTGAATGCAAAACAAATTATAGCACCTTCGTATGATTATTTTATCATTACTGAGCTCTACGTACCTTTATATTTTTAGTTCACAGGACACAAAGTGTCGCCATCTAGTGTGGAATATATTTAATTATATTTGAAAGCCGACGTAAAGAGATTTTTCTAGAATTATTTTAATAAATTAGGTGTAAATTTTTTTTTTATAGGATAAGGGTGACAAACGAGCACACAGTCCACCTGATGGTAAGTGGTTGCTGTGGCCCATAGACATCTACATCTATCCTCTATTACAAATCAATATGTAGATGCGTTGTCACCCGTGAGGACTAAGATGGAATGCCTCATTTCCAGTAAAGAGGGCCTCCGGCCACCTGCACTCACCAAGCGAAACGCAGAGGTAAACCTCTACTTCACGCTGGTTTTCTGTGAGGTCGTGGTACCACCCCGGTTCGAGCCGGCCCATCCGTGCGACATCCATAGCATCGGAGCGTCTATCTCATGAAGCAAATACATTCAGATAAAGAAATTTTAATCGCCAAAATAATATTTTTATAGTTTTCATAATAATTTTGGGAACAGGCCGCCATCTATTGTCAAGTAAACCTCATAAAAAATTACAAAAAGACAGGGCCGCAATTAGAATTCAATTATTTTACCCAGTAACCCAACATTCAATATTAAAATGAAGGAAATTGTACTTGGCTGATTTTTACGAAATGTTTAAGTTATATTTAACTGACATTCTATATGCAAAGAATCACTTAAATACAATTTAAATATGTTTATCATTTCGTGAAAGTCAACCTTCAAAAAAATATTTATTTTATCCATAAAATAAAGTCTCTTTGAAACTAAATATTCTATGTTCAATATTAAGTAGGATATTTAATTTGGAACTAAATATCCTATTTATCTCACTAATATTATAAAGGCGAAATTTTGTGTGTTCTTTCTGTCTCCTTGAGCTTATTCCACACTAAGTATGTACCGTGTATGTGTAATTTTTTCACACAGAAACGGCGGGACTGTTATTTATCTGTGGGTACTACTTAATATCTCTGAGGGAGAACAAATAATAGACAAATTATTATAATTAATATAATTTTATTTACAAATCAATTAAAATATAAATATTTTATTCCAAATTAGGCATCCGAATGCACTTTTTGAATGCCAATCTAAGAACATTAAATTGTATTCAAGTGATTCTTTGCATATAGAATGTCACTTAAATATAACTTAAACATTTCGTGAAAATCAGCCTAAGAACAATTTCCTTCATTTTAATATTGAAAGTTGCATTACTGAATAAAATAATTTAATTCTAATTACGGCACTGTCTTTTTGTTATCTTTATGAGGTTTACTTGACGATAGAATACGGCTTGTTCACATAATGATTATAAACTATATATTTAAAGGCCGGCAACGTATCTGCAATTCCCTCCCTGGTGTTGCAGTTGTTCATGGGCGGCGGTAGTCACTTACCATCAGGTAAGCCGCATGCTCGTTTGCCCCCTCTCCTATAAAAAAAAAAAACTATAAAAATAATATTTTGCGATTAAAATTACTTTATATCTGAATGCAAAACAAATTTCAGCACCTTCGTATGTGTATTTTACCAATACTGAGCTCTACGGACCTTTATATTTTTAATTCACATGACACAAAGTGTCGCCATCTAGTGTCGAATATATTTAATTATATTTATCATAATCTCACAACTCTCAAAAATAGGCGTGTACTTGCTGACATGTCCTTTTTACACGGAATATGAAACGGATATATAGATAGCCCTGAACTATCAACCAAAATACTGAGTTGCTGCGCCCCGAAAGTTAGAACGAGACACACAAAATTATTTGCTGTAACACGATCAAAATCAAATTACGCACAAAACGCATTGGTCAATCGATTGCATAGAACTTTTAATAACCAATTTAATGTTACTGACATTTTTCATAGTAGTAGACATGTGTTTAATAGGGAAGTTCTTGAAATACTTGAAGGAAATGGTTAATATGTATATTGAACACACACACACACACACACACACGCACACGCACACGCATGCGCACGCACACGCACACGCACACGCACACGCACACGCACACGCACACGCACACGCACACACACACACACACACACACACAAGCGCGCGCATGCACGAACACACAGATCAGAGAGAAAGATAGACGCGCTGTTTTTAATTGTTAATTCTAAAATTGTATGTTTTTGTGGCTCAAACTTATTGATTGTCGGTCGATTAATTTAAGTTAAAAAATGTATAAAGTAGATCCGTTATTGGCTGTAAGTTTATTTCTTAAGTTCATTTACATTGTAATTAGGGCTGTGGATCTTGTAATAAATAAATAAATAAATATTTGAAAGGCAACGCAGAGATTTTTCTAGAACTATTTTAATAAATTAGGTGTAAAATTATTTACAAATGAAATGTGATGCCATCCATACCATCAGAGCGTCTATCTGAGTAGTTTTTACGCAATAAAACACAACACTTCATCCTTTTCTTCTTAATACTACGAAAATACATCGATTTGCGATTTTTTCCACACATGAGCGCACAGGACGAATGCTGACAGTATACTAACTAAAGCCACGCCCACTATGATGACATCAGGACCTACTTAGAATCACAGTGCACAGTTGCTTATACCGTCTCCCCTTGTATTAGCTTCATGGATCTAATAGCATCAGCATCACAATTATCGATACCTGTCACGGGTTTTTTTTTTTGCTTTTTGGGTGTGTGCAGTACATTATCTTCACAGCCAAAAGGCCCGTAGTTTTCCTTTATGATATTTCGGACAGTTTTTATGCCAATTCCAAGCAGTTCTGCGACTCGTTCTTGTACTTGGGTAACTTCTAAAAGATACCCTCTATTTGCTGAATCTCGTTCAAAGTACTCTTGCAACTTCAAAACCAAGTCACGAGACTGGGTGTTAAAGAGTACGTCCTCTTTTATACATGTTGTCTAGTTTACACGATAACACCAAAATCACGTAATGCGTAATCAAAGTCCAAAATTAGCAAACCAAGGTCAACGAATATAGCAGAAATAGTGCAAGAGTGATAGCCGAGTCAGAAAATATAATAATAACCAATAACACAAAAACTTCCAAGATAAGATAATGTAATACAAGTTTTTATACCTACATCAAGCACCAGTCTCTCACAAGTTAGGTACCAGTCTGGCAATTTTGTAATACTTAGCATTAAGTTTACCTATTGTGAAGAGAAAATGAATTCATTCATTCATTCATAGCGAGAGACCGCGCGAAGCATTGAAGAATCAAGGAGGTAGAGAGAAAAAGTGGAGGTTAAAATACATTTTTTTTAAATCAAAGTATGTACTCGGGCCATTTTAGCCAAACTATTTCCAATATTAACATATTATGTGGTCAGATTTTGTTTTTATATGTTTAAACATTAAATAATACGTTTCTCTCTTTTCTAAATGTAAAAGCATCTATTTTTCAAAACATCGATTTTATTTAGTCAAAACATGGTTTATAACGGTCACAACACTACGGCAACGAACCCATAGATATAACATAACAGATATGTTATTGTAATGACGTCCTGTGGAAATATTAATTAACGATTAATTCGTGTTTTTGAGAGCATTTTTCGAATATAAAGTGAAACTTCGTGCTTACGAATAATACTCATTGTTATAGTGTATGATTAACATGGTAATTATTTAGGATTATGAATTTGATTTTTCGATTTCTTACGTAGACGTTCATACAAAGTTATCGCGGCATGTATAATGAGAAACGTCAAATCGGGCTTTTTAGATTGTCGCTAGTATATAGATATATAAAATATTATTATGGCAGATATGGTGTTTAATGGCATTCCTTGGGGGACGTGTATGTTTAGCAGAGGATTTATGAAAGGATGTATTGATGGAGATGATATAGACTCAATCAAATATGAACATTAGAATGTCAATGCATAGGGCATAGACGTCCAGTAGTCGTATTATTTAATATTAATTATTTCAACATATCAGCAGTTACTTGTGATCTGTAAATTCGTAGTGTTATAGTATAGTAGTGTCCTGGTAATTAAGTTACAATTAATTACATACATCTTACTCGTGTAGTGGGAGGCAAGAATATCCACTAATCCATATCTTCCTGTGGGTATCGTAAGAGACGACAGAGGGAAACTGAGGCAGAAGATGGGTAGTAGCATCTTTCTGATAACAGCAGAATAACAATAATAAAAACTGCGGTTGCGCTTGCCTAGCGTGGCTACTACAGTAATATACACCCCATGATTAGAGTTATGAAAAGACGGCCCCCAGTCACCGGCAGCCCCACTATTCCTGGCTAAGGTGGCCATCGTGGTAACGGCGGGGCAAGGGGTGCTAAGAATCTCCGGTGGAAGTTCGATTGCCACCTAAGACGACTCGACCTGGCAACATATAATGCACGCGCATCCTGACGACTGACGAGAAGTTCCTGGAGCTGGAGCAAGAGATAGACAAGTAGCGCTGGTATATTATAGGATTATCGGAGGTTCGAAAAAAGGGGGGAGGATACAGTAACCCTCAAATCCGGCATCGAGAAAGAGGGACTTTTTATAATGAAGTCTTTCTTCCAGAAGCGGCCTCACAGGAAGTGGACCTGGTCGAACCCCGACGGTTCGACGAAAAATGAGATTGATTTGATTATGACGACTAGACGGCAACTGTTCAGTGATGTCTCAGTGTCGCGCACAGTGCACGGGCACGAACCTTGACGTCGAAGTTGACGAGCTCGAGGCGCGTGAGGCGCGGCAGCGTGGCGAGCGCGCGCAGCAGCGCGGGCGCGGCGCAGTGCGCGACGCCGCGCTCGAGGCGCAGGCGGCGCAGGCGCGCCAGGCGGGCCAGCGCCGCGGCGAAGGGCGCGCCGAACGAGCACTCGCCCAGCTCGAGCGACTCCAGCATCTCGAGCTGGCCGACCACCTCGCAGGCGCACCAGCCCAGCTCCTTGATGCTGGTGAGCGACAGGTGCTGCAGGCGCGTGAGCGCGGCCAGCGGGCGCAGGTCGGACGCGAGCGCCAGGCCGGCCAGCGACTTGAGGCGCAGCAGCTCGAGGCGCGGCAGCAGCGCCAGCGCGGCGGGGTCGAGGCGCGCGTCGCGGATGGCGGGCGCGGCCAGCGCGCGCAGCGACGGCACGCGCGCCATGGCCGCCTCCACCGCGCGCGCCGGGCAGCGGCACAGCTCCAGCCTGCGCACGCACGCACACAACCCCTTAAAGCATCGCCCTTACACTCATACCATAATATCATGTCTAAACTACTACCTCCTTGCTCTATTGCTCGTAAACGTCACAGCTGATCATGAGGTACCGGGTTCCAATCCCGATCCGGCAAAAAATCAGTTTATTCAATTTTTCCATCGAAAAATTTTCAGTAACTGCCCGGAGTCAGAAAGTTAACAATGTTTCACTCACGTGCACTCGAAAAGTACGTGTAGCTGTTAATCTACACCTGATCTCTCTCCGTCCGTCGTTTAATTTAATCCGTTCCACCAGACGATAAGAATGAAGGAAAAGAAAGTGCACATGCGTGCACTTGTGCATACACTAGAACACTATAATCTTATCCTGAGCAGATTGCTAGTCTCCGTTAAAACGACCCGTCATAAGCTAAATTTGGTGTAAAAAATATTATATTATCTAAAATACCGCGACGTCCTGTAACGTAATAATAACATAACAATTTCTTCTATATTTGTATGCGTGCCGTAGAGATATCAGTGAAAGACTGTGTGTTGTGCTGTGAGCAATATAGGCAAAATATGCATATATTTCAAACACAAAATAATAATTACTCGATCATAATTTAACATATATCTAATTAACTAACTCTATAATTACGAATTCTTAAAATGCAATTAGTAGTCTCATTCACATAATTTTATTCGTGAACGCCTCGTCTGTGTTTACTATGTAGTCGCGATTCACGAGTGTTTAAAGCTCATAAAACACGAGTGTTTAAAGCTCATAAAACAAAAAAGTTTCTTGAGCATACCATAGCTGGCAGCACTATCTCTAGTCATTGTGTTTTTCGTGCCACAACGACGAGTAGTATTCCGCCATTTTGTGTTAACTAAAAATAGTTAAAAATTCTGTTATACATAATGGCAAAGAAAAGAATATTGTTGGAAAAGCTCATTAATCTTTTGGGAGATTCGGACGAAGGTAATATACTTTACATTTCTTATTTTTCCAGACTGTTTTGTTTTTACCGTTTTCACTAAAAGGCTAAAAGCGTCATCAAAAGTTTTATGACTATCGGAAAATAAATAAATCTCGATGAAACTTGCGGTACCACGAGCGGGTACACGAGTTATTTAATTGTTGTCATATTTACCAGTGTTTGGCGATAGAAGGAGCGTCTATACATAAACATGGTACCGTCAAACTCCCTAACTTTGCCAAGGGTCCAATGTTTGCCCATAATGAAAAAGAAGTAATATCTCTTCTATTTTATAAGCCTGACAACGGAAACTTTGATATATTTTTAGAATTATTATCTGGCAACACAAAATTAGTGGCATCACGTTGGTAAAATGCAAAGATTTTTGACAATCGGGTGCTGAATCAAAGTGTAGAACGGCGGTTACGAGAGTTGTGAGAAAACTTTTCAAGTAAGTCATTGAAATATGTTTAATTGTAACTTGTTTTATAGTCATTCGGTAAAACTATGATAATTTAATAAATTGTCATTTTTAACGATAGAAATACACTAATAATTATTGAGAAATACTGGTGTAGGCAAAGTTTGGCATTTTTTATGAACAAGTGTACCGAACATTGCCGAGCCTAGTTGACACTTGTTAGTAATTTTAATGAGGCGGACGCGTGACCTATATACAACGTGTCCCAAAATTCAACGATAAGCCAACACCGGAGGATAGACCTGCCCCGGACTAATCGGGTAAAAAAAGAAAAAAAAATATATCCCAATTATATTTTAAGTTATATAAAAAAAATGAAATTCTTCAGAAATTGAGACCGTTTATGATATTTTTCACTACCATGACCACAATTTTTTAAATATTTTTTTCTTTTTTTTTTATAGGCAACCTGAATAGTACTGCTATCTACCACAATTCTTAAAAACTCCAGAATAACTCTTGTTTTATCACGAAAATTAATGAAACTTATTTTATTCCCTAAATTTTTTGAAGACTTTTACTTTTAACCAAATTTAACTTATCGTGGTGTAAAAAAAAAGTATGAACACTAGTATGGCAAGTTTTTTTAAAAATTGACGCAACTAACCAATATTCCAAAATGGTATAATACTCTAGGAAAACAAGTTATAAAAAAATATGGGCCTATTATTTCTTAACAGGGGCCAAATGACGGTCGGGTGTAATAAAAGTATTATTTCTTGAAAAATGTTTAATATTTCAAAACAAATGGTACAAACAGTTTCACGTGTAATTTATTAAGTTATTAACATTATAGCAAATGTTCGAACTGTTTGCCACCAGCATTAATACATGCACGACATCGCCTTAAAAATGATCGTTTTATTTGTCTTGCATATCTTCTGCTATTAATGTAATCAGCAGCCTGAGTGATATTTCGACGAAGCTCGTCCAATGTCACAATGGGTTTTGAGTAGACCCTGTTTTTAAGACAACCCCAATAGAAGAAGTCCAGGGGGTTCAAATCGGGTGAACGGGGTGGCCATAAGATAGGACCAAGTCGCCCGATCCAACGCCCTGGATACTCTTGATTTAAATATTCTCGCACAGGACGGGCATAATGTGCTGGGCAACCATCATTTTGGAACCACATGTTTTGAAGATCACTTAAGGGCACGTCGTTTAACAATTCTTGCAAGTCATTTTGTAAAAAGTTTAAATAACTATTGCCATCTAAGTTTCCTTGTAACTCAAAGGGCCCAATTACTTTTCCATTTAATATGCCGGTCCATAGGTTAACCTTGAATTGATATTGGGATTTGTCTTGTCTCATCAAGTGTGGATTTTCATTACTCCAACTATGTAGATTGTGAAGATTTAAATACCCATCTTTCTTGCACGTTGTTTCATCCGACCATAGAATTTTGTCTAGGAAGTGGGGATCTTCACTGTGCCTTTGCAGCATTACACGGCAAAATGTGACCCGTAGCGGATAGTCCCGCGGTAATAACGTCTGCACACGCCTGTAGTGATATGGGTGAAGCTTGTGACGTTTTAATATTCGATGTGCAGAACTTTTCGGGATTCCTGTAGCTTCTTCTATGGCACGTACCGAAGTAGTCGAGTCATTTTCTATCTCCTTGAGAACTTCTTCATCACGATCCAATCTAGGTCTTCCAGCGCTGCTTCTATTGGATGGCATACGACCCTCCGAAAACGCTTGATGCACATTAATAAACACTCGATAATCAGGATATCTTTGAGCATTTGGGTATCTTTCTGGATACAGTCTGCTAGCAGCGTTAGCATTACATCGGCATTCTCCATAGATTAAATGCATATTAGCGTATTCCTGTGGTGTGTACGGTTGCGGCATGTTTAACGCCAAACAGTCCAAAATGCGCCAGAACTCTAAATCACAAAACACACAATCGTAGTCCAAGATAATGCCTAGAAATTGTAACAGGAACCCATTTTGGGCATGTAGTAAAAGTGATTACTGACAATTACAATTTAAGGAATTTGGCCCCTGTTAAGAAATAATAGGCCCATATTTTTTTATAACTTGTTTTCCTAGAGTATTATACCATTTTGGAATATTGGTTAGTTGCGTCAATTTTTAAAAAAACTTGCCATACTAGTGTTCATACTATATATATATATAGTTATTTTTTATATATAGTTATTATTGTGTATATATTTGTGTATACTTACTCAGTTTTCTGTTTATTTGAAGGACAATCAAAATGAACAAGCCGCGAAGAAAATATAAAGATTACGATGAGAGCTTACTAAACATTGCTGTAGGTCTCGTTGAAAATAAAAATATTACTTCATACGACGCTGAGAAACAATTTGGTATCCCTCGCCGCACGATTTTAAATAAAGTAAAACAAAAACACACGAAAAAAGTCGGATGTCCCACCAAACTGCCACCAGCTAATGAACAGAAAATAGTCAGTTGTTTAGTTCTTTGTGGAGAATATGGGTATCCTGTTACTAGCTTTGAATTAAGGTCAATCGTACATGATTACTTAATCAAAAATGGACTCAGTAATATTTTTAACAACAAAATGCCGGGTCAGAAGTGGGTAAGAAACTTCTTGAAACGCCACAAAAATGTCCTGACGGTGCGTTCTACAAATAATATTAAAGAATCCCGAGCTAGTAAGAGTGTAAAGGACTACAATACATATTTTGAAAATTTGAAGATTTCATTGCATAATGTCAAACCAGATCATATAGTGAACTATGATGAGACCAACTTTTCCGATAACCCAGGATCTCAAAAATGCATATTTAAAGCAGGTACTAAATACCCAAACAAAACACTAAACAATACCAAGACGGCGATATCTGTTATGTTCTCAGCTACGGCAGGTGGAGAAATTTTCCCACCATATGTCGTATACAAAGCAGACAATTTGTGGACAAATTGGTGTGCAAACGGGCCTGAAGGAACCAGATACAACAAAACCAAATCTGGTTGGTTCGATTCGTATACTTTTGAAGATTGGTTTAATACCATAATCATCCCATGGGCAGTGAAAACCACTGATCCTAAAGTTTTAATTGGAGACAATTTATCGTCACATATGAATATAAATATAATAACTAAGTGTGAAGAACATAATATCAGATTTATCTTTTTGCCACCTAACTCCACTCACCACACTCAACCTCTTGATGTGGCCTTTTTCGGCCCATTGAAGAGAGAATGGAGGAGAATTTTAACGGACTACAAAGTTCGACACCCAAGTTCTAACACATTAAACAAACAAATATTCCCCGAATTATTGAAAATGTTACTAGATGCAACAAAAATTACACAGAGTAAAAACATAATTAGCGGATTTCGTGCTGCTGGGATACACCCCATTAATCCAGAAGCTATATTAAAGAAATTGCCAGATTACCGTAGGCCACAAGCAAACATTACTTACGATGAGACTTTTGTCAATTATTTGAAAGGTTTAAGAAACCCGGCGAACCGGCAAATAAGAAATACAAATAAAAAAATATTTATAGAGCCTGGAAAATCAATAACTGTTACCGATCTCGTAAATG